AGCCGGGCTTTCAAGACTCTGAAGCCAGAACACTAATGTAGACCCCTGCGTGACACCCTTTTTTTCAAGCGCCACAGTGGGATCCCGTCTTTGTTACTTATTAGTTCCTTGTTAAAGGACGGCGGTATGGCGCTCACCGTACATCGCAAAAATATTGAACCACTGACAAACGGTTCTTCTTTACTATTCAGACCGTCAGCGCAGAACCCTGCCAGGCAACCCTAAACCCTGGCTGAACCCAAGCTTCTAGAAACCCTTCTAGCAGGCCTTTAGGGGAACCCTAAGTAATTGCTTATAGAAGCTCTGATTGCAACCCCTAAAAGGAAGCCTTATTGCCTCTCGAAGCTATGGTGTTCCACAAAACCTCATATCTTAAAGCCCTTAGAGTAGCCCTTTAAAGTAGGAATCCTTTTTAGCTCTAGAAACCCCTACCTAAACCCTAAACCCTAAACACCTGAACGGGGACCCTAAAATCCCCGCCGATGGCGTCGCCAGGCCCCGGGCTGGTCGGCTCCGGCGGCGGGGCTTTCGGGGCTTTCCTCGCGTGGAAGCGCGACGTGGCCACTTCGGGGGAGGGGCTCAGCACTAGAAGAGGGTGTAAGTTACGTAAGGGTTTAGGGTGTAGGGGTGTTTCGGGGGGGGGTATGATCTAACATATGGTATTAGCAACAATAAGAGTCAGAGCCATTAACAATACTAACCACTAATAAGAAGGATTATTGGCGATAGCTTCGACACTCCGAACTTCGCAGGTCGTTTTCGTGCTAGAAGCATCGCCGCCTTCAGGTCAAAGAGGAGGATTCGGTGATTCTCACGCTCTACCCATAGGCCCTAAAGTAGTTCCTTTTTGAGGTTCATATATAGAACCCTATAAGGTAACCCCCAAAAGGAACTACTTTAGGGCCTATGGGTACTGCCAAGGCCGTGCAACTCTGAAGCTCTTCACACCAAGCCGCCCGAGGGCCCTAAGGCAAAAAGCATGAGCTCCAACGCCCACTACACCCCACCCCTAAACCAATGAGGTCAACCCTCAAGACCCTAAACCGGGAAATCCCTCGCCCTCAAGCCGTAGCCTACACAAGCTGTGTGGAGCCCCATGCCCTAAACCCCAAAGGCCAAACTTCAAATCCGAACGTGGAGCCTGGCAACCTGCAACCCCGAAACAAGATTACCTTAACTTTGGAGTCGGCTAAAGATACACACCCCCAAACTCTTCAAACCAAATCCTAAAGGCCGGGAAAGCTTCCCGGCCTTTCTTTCTCTAAAGCCCTGCTCTAATTCGCAAGGCCCCTATGTCAGAGAAGCTTTCTAACAAACCCTGCGTACAAGAAGGAGACTATGATGATACTATTAGAACTAAAGTGGAACCGGGAACCCTTTTCTAATTCTTACTGCCCTAAACCCTAAACCCTAAACCCTAAACCCTGCGCTCTCCGAAGAAGCCCCCAGCCTCCCCCCGGCCCTCTGAGGCTCGCACTTCGTTTGAGCACGAGAGGCACTCCGAGGCGCAGGGGGCGTGCCTGAGGTCCCTTAAAGGCCTTAAAGTACAGTAGCCATAAAACTATATTAGGGTTTAGGGTTTTGGGTATAGTGTGAGGGCCCAAAAATTGACGAATACTGTCCCTTAAAGTACAGTAGCCCTACCCATAGGCTCTAAAGTAGTTCCGTTTGGGGGTTACCTTATAGGATTCTATATATGAACCTCGAAAAGGAACTACTTTAGAGCCTATGGGTAACGTAAGGCCCAAAAACATGAAGAGCTGAAAGTACAACAGCCCACAGAAAAACGAATACTATTCCTTGAAGTACAGCAAGAATAATGTCAGGGGCTTCAATATTTACAAACAGTATCCCTCAGGGTTCCTTTTTTTAGTTCCATGAAAGGTCCCTGAAGGTGCAGTAGCCCAAAGAATGACGAATACGATCCCTCCTCGGTGTTCCTTTGTAAGGTTACACTAGAGGTCCCTGAACTTGTGTCAGAAGTAGAGCGAGGACCTAGATTTGTGAATCCAGGTATACTTTCGGAAGGAGGGTTTATGGTTCAGGGTTCTGAGATTACAATAAACTAATGCAGGGGCCGAAATGATTACCAATGCTATTCCTTAGGGTTCCTGAATATACTTCAACTATGCGCTATCTACCCTAAAACCCTATTTACTTAATTCCCGTGTATTCTACCATAGCCGGAACCTCGATTCCCTATTTTTCATGCTGCGTCGAAGTTATAGAGCTCATAGAGCTTTAAGTAGGTTCTTACCATGAGCTCAAATGTAGAGTGTATAGGGACCATAAAACGAACCTTGCAGCCCAATCCCTGCTGTTGGGTCGCTCTGCCATCCTATTCGTACCGAGAGTATTTTTGGCGACCGATTACTGAGGCCTAATCAATCTTCAAACCCTCGACTGGGATCCTGAATCTCAGGATCCCCTTTCAAGGGAACCTCTTGCTGACGTGCTTCTTGTTGAGCTTTGCAAAAGGCTCGGAAAAACGAGGTCTCGGCGTTCCGGCTGCTTGTCGCGGTTCGGAGAGAGCCGCCCCGCCCTGACAAAATGGGTGCTTTACAAATTAAAAGATGCTTTCATTACGCATAGGCCCTAAAGGAGTTCCTTTTGGGGGTTACCTTGTAGGATTCTAGACATGAACCCAAAAAGGAACTACTTTAGGGCCTATGGGTAAAGGCTGGCCAGGGGTTTCAACTTGATTCCTTGAAAGGCTCCTTTACGGATTCTCCCAGGCTTGGGTGGGGAGTTAGGGGTCCTACTTGGAGGTTCATGGGTAGTTATAAGTGGGGTTGAAAGTAGGGTAACCATAGAAATAACCCAGATTAAGGGACTTATAACCCCACTTATAACTACCCATGAACCTCCAAGTACTGATTCGAACATCGCGTTGGCCTTTGATGTGCATTGTGGTTTAATGTTTACGAACGACATCAATTCATTCCGGAGTTACCAGGGAGTTCAATACTCCTTATTTCGGGAATATGCCGTAAACAATATTGTGAAGCTACATTCCTGTGCTCTTGACTTTTATTCTAAGTTTGAGCATTGAAACAGACTCCTGTTCGTACCGGACAAGGGCTGGCCAATCAGAGGCCTGCATCACTAGACTCCGAACCCTGCGTGCTATCCCACCGGCGCCTGCTGCTATTTGTTTTCCTCTTGGCCTCAGAGACATCGGGCCAGGGGGGCCCGGCCCTGAAGAAAGGAAGGCCACTAAACCAATAGTTGGATAATGTGGGAACCTGATTAAGAAACCCTGGCCCAATAACCCTCAAAATAGTAGGATTCATATAAGGAACCCAAATTAAGGCCCAGGGTTTCTCAATCAGGCCCCTACATTACTCAATTTGTTGTCAGTTGAACCACTTCATTAGAGCATTCCGGGCTTTCCTGGAACTTGTAAACTCCAATGTCCCAACCTGCAGCATCTCCATTTTATCATCCGGGCATCTTTACCCCCAAGATCGTGGGCGCGTGGCTTCATGACGGCTTCTTGTGATGTGATTCTGAAAAGACATGTTGTGCGAGGGATTGGGTGCTGGGTGCCAAGCCTCGGTAACACCGAAGCTAGCCTACGACTGTATACGCGTACCTTCCACAGTGTACGGCTTCTTGCTATGATTTTCGGGCATTGGGCGTTCTGGGGAACGCAACTTGCAAGGCCCGGGTTTCGAGCTCTGGCTTTCGCCTTCGCCTTCGCCTTTGCTGCGCCGCGCCTGGCTGGAAAGAAGAAGCTGCTTTATCGGAGTCGAGGTGTTGGTGTTGTAAGTAACTCATGGTGGCCCACTATGCAAGGGCGCGTTCTTCAGCTTTGGGCTGACACCGTCCAAGTTTCTACAAGGTTCTGGGTGCAAGGTTCTATAACTCAAGGGACTAAAGGAGGGATCCTTAGAGGGACCCTTGGGGTTATATGGGGGCTTTATGAAACTATATAAGGGGTATATAAGGGTTATATGGGGTATTTGGATTAGGCGTCCCTTCGAGGGGTCCCTCCTATTGTCTCTTACATAACAGCAAGGTAGTCAGTGAGTGTTCCAATCTGACGAAGAGACCTGGGAGATCTGTATTGTCGCAATGTCTCCCTCCGATGATGGTACTTAAAGGCCTGCTTACATGAGTGCCCGGATCCTCTACGCAATTGTAGCCCGACGAATCGAACCCGGCATCACGAACTACGTAAATCCTTTATGCCAGGCGTCGGCAGGTGGCGACTTGAATATGGCAGCGCCCACGTAGCTGTAGGCTGTAGCATTGAAGCTGAAGGCTCTAAACCCTGAACCTAAAAACCTATGCACCCTAAAACTGGACCCTGTGAACCCTTGTCCCTTCGCCTGACCGGCTCTGTGGACGCCTCTTCCTGGTGGAAGATGTGTTTACCAAGCTTGATGAGGCGTTCATAGGCTGCTGCGGGGTTCTGCAGCGTTACTAGGTGTTGTGACGAACATTTCGGTTGTAGTGTCGTGGAGTTCGGTGTGTCAGGGTTTGCCTTTTTCGGATTCGCCGAATCACAACAACATAGAACTCATCACTGCTCCCCGCAGGCTTAGACTCTGAAAGTCTGAAGCTGGCTCAACTGGGAAGTCCTACTGTGGGGGCCTTACTATAATTATAGCCTAGTGGGCCCCCCAAAACCCTATTTTAAGAATTAAGAGCCCTTTATTAAACCCTGAAGCCTCCGTCCTAGATCGAACGCCCCAAAAGATTTCAATGTCAAGCCTGCTCCGATGCTGGGTCCCGAGTTATGGTGCAAGGTTCAGGCTGGATATAGTAAGCCCCAAAAAGTTGGAAACCGGATGACGGACAATTAGTGCTGGGATTCCCTCTACATTACTCTTAAGGATCCAGGCTATTGCGTTTCCAACTTTTAGGCTTACTCTTGATGCTCGGGAGTCCGCAGCTGAGGCTGAAACCTTCCTACATGCATGCAAAAGAGTAGTATCTAGTAGCTGGTAGATGCCCCGAGACTCGGAAGATTTTTCAAGAGCTGCCGTAAGGTTTCAAGTTTGTATGAAGAGCCGACTGAGCAAAGGGGAAGCCCCCCGGAAAGCCTCCTTCGCTTCCTCCTTGAGAGCTTCCTTCTCTTCCTCCTTCTTCACCTTCTCAGACATCGAGGCGGGAAGTATGGAAATATATACACCGTGTTCAACTTTTAGACCCAAAAAACAACCATCAACTCACGATGCAACCTAGAAGTCCCCAGGACCGGGTTCCTTGCAAGTCCTAGGAAACCCGAGAACTCTGAACCCCAAGCCCCTAAGCCCCTAAACCCTAAAGGGTGTTCCTTATGCCTTCAAGCCCACATTCCCAATCGACTCTAACAGGAAATGCGTCCAGTAGCTCGGGGCTAACTTCGGGGGCCTTAACATATGGAATAGGGTATACTGTACTGACAATAAGGAACCCCAGAGAATAATGTTGCTATTTCAAGCTTCGACAGTCGACATACACCCCATAAACAAATCGCTCGTCATGCCTCTTTTCTTGTCCACTTACATCTTTCAAACGTACTGACCCACTTGACAGGGCCCGAGAAAAAAACTGAAAAGGCAACTACAACCCTAATATCTACGCTCTGTGGCACAAAACAGAATCGTCTGAAAACCTCCCGGGGGGGGGGGGGGGGGG